CTGCAAACATGTTTAACCCCGCTTCATTCTATATGTGTCTGTCTCAAGTCAGAAGCCTGTGATTGAATGGTTGCCGTTTATCATATTAGTTTGTTCTAGTGTTGTGATGTTGCATCACTGACCCAGTTAAGGGGAGAGTTGGGCGCCCGCTAATATGTTTAACCTAGCCTCATTCTGTATGTGCTAGTCTCAAGTCAGGAGCCTGTGATTGAATTGTTGTCGTTTATCATATTAGTTTGTTCTAGTGTTGTGATGTTGCATCACTGACCCAGTTAAGGGGAGGGTTAGGCGCCCGCTACCATGTTTAACCCCGCTTCATTCTACATGTGTCTGTATCAAGTCAGGAGTCTGTAATTCAGTGGTTGCCGTTTGTTGTTGTTTATAATATTTGTGTTTCATTCATGTTTTGTACATGAATCAGGTCGTTAAATTTCGCGTTTGAATTGTTTTACTTTGTCGTTATAGGGGCTTTTATAGCTTGCTATGCGGAATTGGTTTTGTTCATTGTTAAAGGCCATACGATGACCGATAATGCCTAACTTCTACGTGTTTTGGTGTCTGGTGGAGAGTAGTCTCATTTGCAATCAAACCACTCCTTCTTATTTAAATATTGTCAACGAATTTGTACTCACATGAACAGCACAACGGTGACATATGTGGGGAAGAATCTGCTTACTTTTCCGAAGCAGCTGAGATCACGCCCAATTTTCGATTGGATTCGTGTTGCTCAGTCGTAAGTTTTTTATGTTGTGGTATGTGGACTGTTGTTTGTCTTTTTGTCATGGCGTTGTAAGTTTGTCTTCGTGTTTGGCATCTTCTGCCTCTTTTTAAAAATATATTTGAAAATTTTGAGAAATTGGAAAATGAGGGGATCTCGTTCTTCAGGCATATATTTTGTTTTTTTTTATACTTCTCTATGCATTATATTTTTCAAGTATTTTCTATGTGTAGCTATTTTTTTACTTTTATTTGTATTTCTGGAATGGATTAATGAGATTTGACCCTCGGAAAACTACCAGTGCCTCTAGTTTTGCTAGCTAACGTTTTAAATGAAATTTGCTCAATTATTGAATCTAAGAATTTCTGTTTTCAAAATCACAATTTGCAATATATGTCAGGAACCTCGTTAGTATTTGTCGTATGTCATGTTGGAGAATTGGATGATGATGACAGATCTTTGATTGATTCAACTAAATTCATTCACAACTTTGTTTTATAAACACGGGACGATTTAAAGCTCGACATATATACTGTAGACACCTGTTAAAGACGGTTGTGTAGTAATTTATAGTTTGGTGTTCTATTGAAAACTCTTTGAACAAAAGCTACAGAGAATAGCAAAACAATACATTATACAAAATATCAAAAACTGTTCACAGCAACTAAAAGCAAAGTTACACTTTTATATTGGAGTATCTGATTCGGAGTATATGTCACAAAATAAGCACTAGATAAAGACATGATCTTATTCACAGCAAATTATAGCAGACTTTTAAAGCGTGAAATAAAATGCAAGTCTTGGTTCACACTAATTGATGTCCTTTTACGAAAAAAACAAACAAACAGAAATCATACCAGGTGCAACTATTTATAAAAAAACCCAGTATAATTGTAACATTTGTCAAAAAGCCTATAATTCCAAGAAGAAAGATGGTAGATCGGGTGTCTTTTTCTGAGCATCCCTTCTTGGCATTATCAAACTATGAAAACATAGTAAAATGCATGCGGTTTATTCAAGGCCAAAGTACTTTTTCCATTATTAACCTTTTCTCTCCATGCACGCAAGCAAACTCGAACTATCAAGATATCATAAAACAATCAATGATTGTACAACTTACACTTTCCTTTCAAAATGATAACTGTAAAAACACGGAAGTAACACTGTAAAAAATATAGCCAATGCATAACCTTCCAACTGTTGTTGTCAACAAAGTTTTTACCTCACGCTATAGTATCCTTTTCTTGATATTTGTTTTCCAATAATTTTCAATCATTCTCGCGTGATATTATCTTTCAATTTCAAAATTTTTTATGGCCTTGAAATCTGTTATTTTTTGTTCATCTAAAAAAATTATGATAAGCAAAAAAAAAAAAATAATATATGAATAGTTAGATGTGACACGATTGCCAACAGGACACCTATCCATTAATGACCAAAGGATGAGAGTGAAAATAACTATAGAGCACTGTACGATATTCAACAATGAGCAAACACCATACCCTGTAGTAAGCCTTAAACTATCAAAGTGTCGTTAAGTGTATTCAATTTTGTTTAGAAAAATCTATTTAAGATCAAGGGCAGATAATTATATTGAATTTGATAGGACAATTTGTGTTTTTTTTTTTATTTTTCAAGAAAATAAGGCCCGTGACCCCTATCTTTATTTGATATTTCGGAAGTATTTATAAAAAGCAATTCCCTCATTGAATTTAAACCAATTCTATCGCTTAATGTTTCATCAATCAAGAAAAATTATGTTTTCCCTCTATAACCCATATAAAATAAGTGTAATTTCGTTGATTTCAATGTATTTTAACAAAAAAACAAGTTCCGTGACCCCTAGTTTTTATATTGAAATTTGAAAGTACATTGACCCAGAAGTCTTTTACAAAAGTTTAAGAAAAATCTATCATCAAAAATTTAGACTCCCCATTTACCTTATAATTAGAATTTAGTTTTCTATATCTAATTTTCACATACCCTTAGTTAGTCTTCTGATCGATTTTCAGTACTGGATGGTACAAATCTACCTATCAATCTCATTTAAAAAAAAGCAAAAGCAACCCCCCCCCCCCCCCCTTCCATTAAAAAAAAAACAAAACATTTATCAAACAAAAAACAAAAAAGAAAACAAACAAAGAACAAAAAACAAAAAACAAAACAAAGAAAAAAATAATGAAAAAAAAACTCTTGTGTCTGTCCCAAGTCTGCATTCTTGAAAGGATGAGAGTGAAAATAACTATGAAGTAAACACCATACCCTGTAGTAAGCCTTAAAAGGCCCCGGCATGACAAAATGTTAAAACCCAACGGCTTGATTAAAGTACAGATTAAGATACGTCCAAAAAAAAATTTAGTTCACTGATTCTGCACGTCCTGAGGGAAATAGTTCATGCTTATTCAGGCCTAAATAAAATTAAGGTTTACTATTTTGGTCCACTGAACTGAATCAAATGTTCGCCGATATATTTAGAGATTCTTGGGATGATAATCATTTTTGTGTTTTATCGGGTGTAAATTATAAAATGTTGTTAATGTATCATTTTCTAGAGACTTAGAAAATGGAGTTAAACAGGCAAGAAATCGTAAAACAATTTTAAAGATCAGTGATCGGTTTCACAAAACATGTAACGACTAAAGTTGATCGGAAGTATACTGAATTATTCATGACTTATGTTCAACTTAAGTCGTAAGTTTTTTTTGTGAAACTGATCAATGACACAAAATTGCACCGTTGGAATCAGAAAACAGCGCTTATTGTACATATTTCTTTTTATTGCACTTCTTGGTATATTGCTTATATGATGGGCTTACACATATTCAGTTGGCTATATACATACCAGTACATATTATGGTGTACCATCATGAGGGGATATTGCCTCAAATGTGTAATTCATGTATATATATGTTAATGCCTAATATATGCGTTAAACTGCAGTCAAATTTGTAAAGGTGCTAATCCAATTCTTGCAATTTAAATATTATATACATAAATATTTAGTAATTGGTTGCTGCGTGTACATGGGAAAAAACTACCCTTATATTTAATCAGTTGGGGCTTCTTTTTTATCCAACTCTGAACACCATATCTTCAAAGATTATTAGATACTGTTCAAAGGGAAATAATCCTTACATATTTATTGATTGTCTCCCATATTAACTTTCTCTTCTAAGTACATGCAATAACTATTCAGTGTTCTATTGTGTTGTATTTTATTTTATTATTATTTCATTGTCATAACAAAAATCATTGTAGTCATTGTTTGAAATTTTAAAACCCGCAAGGGTCCATAATTGGATTAATAAAGTATTTCTATTTCTATTCATATATTAAAAAAACATCAGCAGTGCAAACGATGGCCATTTGAGTCATGATAAAATTGATTAAAAGAAGTTTTAAAGTAAGAATTATAGTAAGAAATATGATTTAAGAATAAATACGGATGCTGACTGAAAATATTAACGAAACAGTGTATCTGTGGTTACTTTGTTGTTTAATCAATTGCACATGCCAAACTGGTTTTTCTTAAACATATTTCTGTACTAATTGAGGCTATCTGGAGCATGTTCTTCTACTGTTATTTATGTAGTTCTACTTTCTCTGAGGAGTCGGTAGTACACATGGTAATAGTTAGAGTAAATTGAATAAAATTTTATGAAAATTTATATTTTTTGCCATGGCGTTGTCAGTTTATTTTCGAATTATGAGTGTGAATGTCCCTTTGGTACCTTTCGCCTCCCTTTTAGACAATTTTTTTACAAAATATTTTTTAATATACATGTATTAAACTACAGCTTGAGTATCCGGACTGTCTGTCCGAATCAGACTTGTTCTTTTCAATGTGTAACTTTCGTTTTTCTGTCGCTTCTTGTTGCATTATAAAAAAATTATGGTATGATGGAAAATGTTTTAATTGTAGAATCTTTGAATGCAACAGTTATTCAGTCAGACCATAGTAGTTTTTTTACTATTATAACCAGTTAAACACCAGATTTATGCTATATAAATCAATTTAAGGAAAGGAAAATAAGCATTCTATCACTTTGTAACTAATGTTACAACATCTGAGTCCCTGTTAGTTAGCCTGTTAATAAGCATTGTCTTTATAGCATTCAATTTCGTTACTTGTACTGAGAGCCATTGTTGGACTGTCTTCCTGCTGCAGAGCAATTCAATGAGGAAAGAAACAATGGCTAAGCCGACAACTCCAAAATATACATAGTAAAGTCCAACGATACTATCTAATCCGAGCGACTGCGCAGAGCCATGTCTATCTGACCTTGTACAATCATCAGACAGAGACCACCATTGTTTCCGCCACTTTTCAATTAATCCTGCTTCATTCATCTTCAGTATTCTATATCAAAAAGAGAAAAATACAAAATTTATACAAGATACTCTGAAACTCATTCAGCCCAAGTTTGGCTGAAATTGATTCAGCAGTTTCAAAGGAGAAGATTTTTTAAAGTAAGCAAACTAATTAGATGAACAAATTGTGAAAAATTGTCTTTAAAGGACTATAATTTTGGTCTTATAATACTGATTTGTAGAGCTTACTTTGCTGAACATTTTTGCTGTTTACAGTTTATCTTTATCTATAATAATATTCTAGATAATAACCGAAAACTGCAAAATTTCCTTAAAATCATCAATTCAGGGGCAATAACCTAAAAATCAGATACCCGATTTGGCTGATAATTTAAGGGCAGGTAGACCTTGACCTAATGAATACTCTAACTTTTTGTCTGATTTGCTCTAAATGCTTTAGTTTTTGAGATACAAGTCAAACACTGCATTTTACCCTATGGTCTATTTTTAGCCATGGCGGCCATGTGTTTTTGACGAAACATAAAATAAAACACAAACTTTATTCTAGATACCCTAAGGATCATTCAGCTTAAGTTTGGTTGGAATTGGTTTAGTAGTTTTAGAGGAGAAGATGTTTGAAATAGATTACAGCGGACGGACGACGACGACGAACGACGCCGGACGACGACGGACGCCAAGTGATGGCAAAAGCTCACAGTTCCTTCGGGACGGTGAGCTAAAAACGTCTGTTTGTAGTGCTCATAGTATGAATGAAAGTAGATTTGCAATATACGTTCGTCAGACGGCAACTAAATGACACCAAAAACGAGATGACATCTAGAAATCAGCATAAGGTGTTCCAAAATATACATGTGCCTAAAAAATGTTAACCTCCCAAGTTTAACAATGTTGTGAGTAAAAACAGTTTCAATAAGTTTTTTTGTCAAAACTCATCAGTTTTCAATAAAAAAATAATGATTACAAACAGACAACTTACGCAAGATTAAATGCATTCAAATATTTTGAGTTTTCTTCGAGAACAAAGCCAAACCCTGCATTGTTGAACTTTTCGTCCGCCATGGCGTATGTCTGACAGTCTTGTAACATGATGTATTCCAGAAGTGAAAAGTCCGACATGAATGCATACTCATTGGTACGCACGTAGCTCAGTGTGGTATCTATGTCTTTAACTATTGGCATACCAGACATTTTAGTCCATATCTGTCTGTATACCGACGATTTAGCAGTCTGTGAACATATAACAGTTAATAGGAATGAATACAAAATATCAAATATTAATATAAACATTAGGAGATGTGGTATGATTGCCAATGAGACAATTATCCACCAGAGTTCAAATGAAGTGGATGTAAGAATACATTTACGAAAGTCTTTCGTGGTTAAATAATTCATTTCGATAGAATAAAACAATACCATCAGTAATCAATTAAAAAGTTCCGATTCGTACAATTATCCTTAGTACTTAATATAATTTATTTTACTGTTTTAAAATTTTTTAAATTAATCTTTGTTAGATTGTCCTTCTTTCTCGTCTATCAGTAAAAGAACAATTACTGACATACAAGCATGTTTCGATAGTTTAAAAATGGATATCTGCTTTTCAGAGTTGCCACCCTTAGCACAAATACAGTTCATGATAGGTGATCTGGGTTACTTGTATTCCCCAGACTTAGGTAATAGTTTAGATAAGATCAGGAAAAAATCTCTTACAGACGTTATGAACGAACGTTCTTTTTTACTTGAAAAAAATTCAAATGTATAATATCATGAAATTTGTGCGAACGTTTTTAGTTTTAATTTTCAAGGTTTCAGTTTTTATGTCTTTTCTGGACTGTATATATGAATATAAACTTGTTACTGTAATCAACTTTTACGAAATAGCCAATGTATTATGTTATTTTAGCACTAATGTAATTATTAGACTTTAAAATATTTGCAAGTATCTTGTATCATGTTTTACTACAATCATATAATGTTGATTGTAAATACTATGTTTTGATAACGCAATACAATATATATATAGTTATACAGCAATTGACGCAATTGATAATAATTAGTTTAATTATAAAAAAAAACCACTGAAATATATATAGATAAAATGACAACATTGGCTGAGGTATAGGGGGAGGGTTGAGATCTCACAAAACATGTTTAACTCCGCCGCATTTTTGCGCCTGTCCCAAGTCAGGAGCCTCTGGCCTTTTTTAGTCTTGTTTGTTTTTTAATTTTAGTTCATTTATATGTTTTGGAGTTTAGTGTGACGTCCATTTTCACTGAACTAGTACACAATTTTATTTAGGGACCAGCTGAGGACATCCTCCGGGTGCGGGATTTTCTTGCTGCGTTGAAGAGCCATTGGTGGCCTTCGGCTGTTGTCTGCTCTTTGGTCAGGTTGTTGTCTCTTTGACATATTCCCCATTACCATTCTCAATTTTAACAATTGATAAGATTTAGTCTTGTAAATGATTTAATTACCTTTTTACATTACTGTATTTACAAAAAATATTGAAGAAATTCATTCAAATTTCCATTAATGTAGGTTGCTTATTATCAGTACAAAACGGAAGAGTTTATATAGATAGTGTTTGTCTTTTTAAATCTGAATATCAATTAAATTCAGTACAATTTCGTTTCCACCGGATATAGGTACCCCGAAGCGGTGGACAAAACAAATGTGAAGTCATGTAAGGTCTAATTCTTCATATTTTTCATTAAATTCTACGTTTTGCTGACAAGTAAAGTTGTGTGATAGTGATTCCTAATAATGTAGCTACTATATAGGACTGGTTATGATCCTTTATAGGCTTTCTCTCTCGTCAAATCCTCAGAATCGGATAAGGGGTACCTGTTCAAGGAAGCATGTGAAGAGTTCAAACTTGTTAAAACACATTTATCCTTCAACTATTCATTTGACGTTTTCGTAGAACAAAGGTATATCATATTTAAGCTTGAACAACAATGTATTTTGAAATAAAATATTGTTTTCACTGAGAAATTCATGTTAATAAAGCGGATAAATTGTACGGCGAATAGTGGCGAATAGTTGTTTACTGTATGGGGATAAGAATAGGGGCTTTTTGTTGTCATTGTTTCTTTGCTTCGGGGTATCTATATCCGATGGTGATGCAACACAGTGAACATGTACCTGAAACAAGGTATGAAGATTTGATCCGGAAAATATCAAGGGTCGAATGTCATTATGATTCGCAAGTTCCTCGAGACTATTGATAGGTGATTCGATGATTGTCACAGTCAAATAGGCAGCAAGATTGGCTGTGTATGTCGCTAACATCAAAATAGTGAAGATCCACCAGACACTTAATATCAGTCGGCCAGATAAAGATCGTGGTCGTTCATCTCCTCCTAAAAATGATCAGAAGTTCAAATATATCATATCAGTACAAACCATGCCCCCCTCAAATTCCACTCCGCTCCATCCAAAAACAAACCCCAAAATACCCTTTCCCCCACAAGAAGAATATTGAAACTAATGCTTGCACATTACATAAAATATGGGTATTTTCGAATTTGAAATCATAATGATGAAATAACAGAATTTAAGGTAACTGTCTTTTATGTAAAGCTCTCATCTTTTTGTCAGATCTCGCTTTTTTCTATTCCCTAATGGATTTTGTAAGCTTATTAAGCATTTGTCTCTGATTTCAGATATCCTGATATTTTATCTTTGAACAGCACTGGATGTATTCACCGAAATTGGTACATAAACACAGAACCATCAATTATGAACATTATTAAATTAACCAGCGATGATAGGAAATGCTTTGTTTACGTTACCTCTATAACATTCTCGACATAACTTTCTCAGTTATAAGAAAAGCAATAGTTTTCCTTTCAAACTTTACAACTATATGCATTGTGACTACTTGGTGATCCCAATATTTAACTAATGTTTTGATTCAGTATCTATTGAAAAGCAATTTGAAATGTCTGTGATATCGAATACTTAACGACCTTATAATTGTCAGTGAGGCATTGAAAATACAGATACTGTATATATTTGAAACCATTACCTTGTTCTACAAAGTATCCATAAACATGCCACATAGACGAACTCAGCTTTGGGGGATTCTGGTGAGGTTCATTGTCTTCTGTCTGGGTAACTGTAGTATCCGAGCTGTATCTGTTGTTCACGTACACCAATACACCAACAACAACTATAGCAACAGCAATCGTTACCCAGACAGATACAGACAATGGTTTGAACATTTTGTACTCTTTATTAGCCTCTACCTTTGGTCTCATTGTGAGAATTCCAATTCCTTCTTCCATATAAGTTGTTGTAAAATCAATCACAGATTCTCTGGCGGATGTTATTGTGAAAGGACCTGCCGCAAAATCTGCTTCCTACAAAAACATTAAATTAAGGCGACAGTAGTTAACCGATTTTCACAATCTCGTTAATCGATTAGGAAGGGACAAATCAAGGTAATAAAAAACTGAGGGAATCGCATGAATTTCAAAAGACCGGGTGCCTTTCCAGGATAGGCGTCTCCTGAAATTCATGCATAATCGGGAATAGGACAAAACCAGTGATATAACAGATCAGATGACTATACTGGTATCAAAAGATCGAAGACTGCGAAAACATGTCACAAGTTGAATTTATGCACATACCATGGCCATTGTATTTCAATGCTCCATGAAATCTGTTAATAACTACAACGGCTCATATCAGAATGAGGAGGCATCATAACATTACCACACACTAAGACAACTACAACGGCTCATATCAGAATGAGGAGGCATCATAACATTACCACACACTAAGACAACTACAACGGCTCATATCAGAATGAGGAGGCATCATAACATTACCACACACTTAGACAACTACAACGGCTCCTATCAGAATGAAATGGTATCATAACATTACCACACACTAAGACAACTACAACGGCTCCTATCAGAATGAAATGGTATCATAACATTACCACACACTAAGACAACTACAAAGGCTCAGATCAGAATGAGGAGGCATCATAACATTACCACACACTAAGACAACTATAACGGCTCATATCAGAATACCACACACTAAGAGTAGTTTGAGCGTTTGGTATTTGACAGTTGTTGTCCATTCGTTCCGTCGATTGATGAAGTCCAACCTTTGATTTTGTCAGTTTGTATGGTTAGGGGAAACAGTAGTTTTACCGATGTTCAAACCTCGTAAATCCATTCAAAACGCACAATTCAAGATCGGAGATGTTTCGACATGGAAATCGTCTCTTGCTTTGAATGAATCATTCGCCATGAGAGTCCTCGCGAAGTCAAAATTGCTCAATAGGAATAAAAAAGACACATTCGGTAAATTTACGGACATGAGGACTATTCTGGTATTTCAAGGTCTAGTTATATTTTATGAATCTGAACAATTTGTTCACAGCTTGTCTAATTTTGGCTACATTTGATTAAGCAACACTGATGGGTCTTTTGTAGACGAAACGCGTACTAATGTTTAAGCTAGGAATGTACTCTAGAAGTTACCCATTTTTGAAAAGTGTATGGTTATCTTTGATTATTTATAAAAGAAATGAATGTACTGTGTTAAAAATGGTGCCGTCAAACTCCAAAATTTAATGTAATCGATGCCGCTACCTATATAGTTCAGTTATTTTTATTCAGGATAAACGTCACCTCATTATCATATCACACTGCATTATAATTGTGGTTTGCTTACATATTTTTCTTTCAATGCTATTTTGCTATTCTTAATTGACTATTAAGCAGGCAGCTTCATATGCTTATATAAGAAGCTTCCCCATTTCAAAATATCAAAGTGCCAAAATGTTTTTTGCGTACAATTCTTCAGTACCGTAGTTACAAAATTTTATTTAATACTAGTAACAGGTTTTAGGTTTTGTGAGTTCCTGGTGAATTATACCTAGAAAAGATTCTCGAATGCACCAAAATTTTACAAGGGATAATCTTATTTTATAGCACAGAGTTAATACTGCTACTAGTGGACGATAAGCTCACGAGGTACCACCAGCTTAGTAGTATTACTTAGATATTGACATGATTTATAACATACATTTCTTGAATACTCTAGATATATTTATGACAAATTAGGGACCTAAGTTTCCTATTCACTCAAGTAAATTTGCACTTATGTGGAATTTGCTATTTTTGAGGTCACTTGTGAAAATGTCCCAACTTCGAAAGGAGCCATGATACATATCCAAGTTTACGATATGGACAGAGGAATTGAGGAAAAGGCTACCATTACCGCCTACCTAAAATGAATTGCTCATCTTAAACCATTTGATGGTAACAGTTTTTTTTAAGAATTAACTGCACCTAAGTTATGCTAAAAAAAGAGGCAGAAAGATAGCAAAGGAAAAACCAAAATGCATGTCTCGAAGAGAAACCGACAACGATATGGGATCACCTCTCCAAAATGTTTAAAAAATAATAGATAAACCGAAGAAAATACCAACAACAATATACAAAACACAACATAGTTTGAAAAGGTGTAATTTTTGGGCAAACTGGTTCTACGTAATGATAATTTTCTGTAGATAATTCTGTGCGATCAGAATTAGTATGTCAGACAGTGCCAGACCTATTTGCAGACTGCTGAAAAGTATAGCACTTTTCGTGCATCCAAAACATTTTTTGGGGATTAACTTGACAATAAACAGGAAAGCCCAAACCTAAACATTGTAAAGCCAGTGATGTATGAATACATACAAAGTTAAGAGCTATATGATTTAAAGGGGTCTTAAAAGAATATCGTAATTCATCAAAGGTCAAATCTACTTGAGTTAGATGTATATACCTAACCTTGTGAGCTAGGACGTTAAACATATTCACGGTTTGTGTAAATTACGGAGAAGGGTATATCTATCTAACCTCACAAGTTCCATCACAGAGTATATCTTTCTAACCTCACAGGTTATCATCAGCTCAGTAGTTAGTACTTCGGTACTGACATGATTTTTAACAAACCTTCTAAAATTGTCCGTTAATAAATTTTAAAATTAAAAGAAACTAAGGTTTCAACTCCCTCAAGCACAGTTCACCTTAGATAAATTTTACTATTTGTCTTAGGTCCTTTATGGTAATATAGCTCTTCAACTGTTTAGGTTATTATACATTCTTAGGTTTCACATATTATTCGGCTTTGAGCATTCCTGATGAAGGTAAATCCAGAAAAGCGCCTCTGACGCATGAAATTTATAACGTGTTGTTTTCATTTTTCCCAATCTGAATATGTTTAATAACCTACTTATAAAAATTAAACTACCTTCTGGCAATTAAATATATTCTTAAACAAAATATGACATGATGTGTATAAATAGAGACAACAATTTATAAATTTCGTGCATCCGAAGTCGTTTTCTGGATATACCTTCATCATGAACGATCAAACCTTAACGTCTGAAAGCCAGAGACAGACACAATATTAAATAGTTAAATGCTATCATTTACTCACATTACGCATTACCATACCAACCATTCCATTCCAAGTCCCATCATCCTCTAGACTTCCGTAGGCATTGTCGGAAGGGGACACAATCTCATAACTTAAACAAATACAAAATAATATTTTAATTGTGATTACTTCTTTTATATATGGCCCCTACATGAAAAATATAAAACAATTCAATTGAGAAAACTAACGGCCTACTTTATCACAAAAAAATTTACGAAAAACAAATATGACAGACAGAATTTATTTATTTTGCAAAAATTATCTCCGTACTCCTAACAACAAAATTATTATATTTAAATTTACCTGTGTACGTTATTTTATTAAGCGCCATTTTGTCCAAGGTTAAAGTTGTCTTTTTGACATTGTTTTACATCCCCCCTTTTTCGTTGTGTCATAGATCAAATTTATTCGCTCATTTTATGTTTACTTGTTTTTGTTAATATGTCTTTTTGATTGAGTTAAGCCATTTCAATTGATACTTTATAGATAGTGTGTCTTTCTATCTTGTAATGTTACACTACTAGTTCAGGTTAGGGTGAATGTTGGCGCCTGTTAAAACGTTTAACCCGCAGCATTTGTTTGCACCTGTCCTAAGTCAGGAAAATGTTTCAGTGGTTGTCGTTTGTTGATGTGGTTCTTAAGTGTTTCTCGTTTCTCGTTTTTTATATAGATTAGACCGTAGGTTTTCATGCATGGTTTTACATTAGTCATTTTGGGGCCCTTTATAGCTTGTGTTCGGTGTGAGCCAATGTTCCGTGCCGTACTTTGACCTATAATTGTTTACTTTTTACACATTGTGACTTGGATGGAGAGTTGTCTCATTGGCACTCATACCACATCTTTTTATTTCTATGAACCAACGACAACCACTGAACTACAGGCTCCTGACTTGGGACAGGCACATAAAAAATATGGCGTGGTTAAACATGTTTGAAGGCTCCAACCCTCCACCTAACCCTGCACAGTGTATGTTTGGTACTAAAAAGAGAGGCGAAAGATACAAAAGGGATATTCCAACTCATAAGTCGAAAACAAACTGGCAATGCCTTGGCAGAAAACAAAAAAACGACGAAAAGCCAAACAGTATTAAAGCAACAGTACTTTACCGATGTTCAAATTTCCTAAATCGATTAAGAAATCAATCAGGGTAACAATAAAAAACTGAGGGATATTTTTAGGGTTGAAGAAAGTTTAAATGAAATCAAATCGCCGTTTGACATTCAACATCCTTCCTAAATTATCTATGTCTCTAAAGGCAAAACCTAAAGCATAGATAAGGGTTGTTTCGTTTCCAATATTTTCCTATATAATTAAAACTTTAATATAAATAACTTCTAGACTAAAATCTTTTATAGTATCATTATAAAATGCTTGCCATATGTCATAAATGACTGTTCGTGAAGACTTGGCTTGATGGACGCTTTCTCTAACATGAACAACTTTTGATACCTCCAGAAAGTATTGCGAGATAAATAAAAAGAAATAAAATCGAATGTTATATCTAAAAAAGGGACATAAAGTAGTATAACACTGAAAAATCACAAGCTAAATGCCTAAGGCCATACGATTACCTGTAATGTTTAACATCTTTGTCTTTTGGTCTATGGATACTGTTTAATTGACAACCAAAACACATCTATAATTTTGTACAACTAAGTAATTGTTTCATCCGATATTCATAACATTTGTCTTTTTACTTTTTTTTTCCATTTCATTTTTGTTTTTAAAAATCAACGGTAATTGGAGAAAAATTTGACAGACATAGCACCATTCATAGCATATTCTACTTACTTGAAGTTAAATTTCAAAGCTAGCTGGTCTAGGATGTCGATACAGAAACCACTGTGTGTTGTCCGGTTGTTGTCATCACTGTTGAAGAAAACGAACGGATCAAGCTGAAATTATATGTATATAACATTACCAGCCCTGTAGTAAGTACCTCTGTGTTGACATGCAATATCATTTTTAAGTTTAATTATTTGTAAATTGACTATTTATAAAATGTTGAATCAGTCGAAACATTTATTTTATTTTCTATCCAGAACCAAATATAGCCTTAGCCGTATTAAGCACAAGCATTTATTATGGAACATTTTGGATTTTAATGCTCCTCGACTTTTTTTTTGTCTTGCATTTTTTTTAAAACTAAAATGATTTAGATCGCAAACTTATTTTTCTGTCGCTTATGGCGTACATTCTATAAATCTATAGATCTACAAGCAGTTCATGTTTTTTTTATGGTTGGTATTTGAATATACTTTATAATTGTTTTGCGTCTAGAGTGCCTTTCAGGATTTACCTTCTTCAGGAACACCCAAAAACAACATTTAAAAGCCAAGGATGTAAAATACACAGAATCGGTATGAGCTATATGACCAAAACGGGACCTTAAAACTATAGCTTAATTTATCTGACGTCAATTTTTCCTGAAGAAACTTTAACCCTAGTTTCTTAGTAATTTCTTAACCTATCAACCGGAAATGTTTTGAAAGATATGTTATTAATCACGCCAGTACCGAAGCACTAGTTACTGAGATGATTATACTCCCGTTGATTAACAGTCCACCGTTAATATTGAAAATAGCTCTTAATAAATGTCGTACGTCCGAAGTATAAAATATAAAAATAAGAAGATGTGGTATTATTGCCAATGAGACAACTCTCCAAAAGAGACCAACTCTCCACAAGAGACCAAATTACATAGAAGTTAACAAATATAGGTCACCGTACGGCCTTCAACAATTAGCAAAACCCATAGCAAATAGTCAGCTATAAAAGGCCCCGAAATTACAAATGTAAATCAATTCAAAAAAGAAAATTAACAGCCTTATGTATGTACAAAACAATGAACGAAAAACAAGTATGAATTTATATTTAGAAGCATAAATGATACTTAATGTAGTTCAACTAGCTCTAAATGGAAAAAATCCATAAAAAAACCGAATTACTGTCTAATAACATATACTTTGCCTTAAAATAAAGTAAATTACAGTCACAATTTTTAGTTCTTCCGTATTTTGGCCACAGTGATCTTTTAAACATAAAGAAATTAGTGCATGTAACCTTGTAAAATCGTATAATGATCAATAGACCATTTTGTGTCATTGGGTTACTGTCATGATGACAAACAGTTTAGTTTTTTATGTTATGATTAGTATACTGCTTTTTGTCTTTGGTCGTTTTTTTTTCTTTTCTGCCAAGGCATTGTCAGTTTGTTTTTGATTTATGGTATCTTTCGCCTCTCTTTTACACCTTTCTTTCTTCATATCTAATATGTTATCAACATGTTTGCATGTTATCCATGCAATCAATATTTTTATATATTTCTGTCAAAGACAGAATGAATACAATATTTCAAATTTACTTGTTTTGTAAAATATTGCTGGTAAGGATATAAGAACAAAGAAATTTTAATTGGAATGATGACTTAATTTGATTTGAGTTATGATTTTGATGATTTGTAGAAGTGATAGATCAACTATTGCAACACATTCTGTTGGGAGAAAAAATTTTCATTCGTCATTTGGAAATCATTTGAAATGTCTTCTGGGTATTTTTAATCACGAAAGATTTAAACGTTAATATATTGCAACAGGAACTAATCTTGTGTTAAACGATTTTATGAATGGATTTTTTTTGTAAAACGGTAAAACAGAACATATATGTTATCAAGGTGATTATTTAATTACAATCCTATATCCAATGAATGTGAAGTAATTTGTAGAATTTATATAATTATGCTCGAAAATTTAAAACGTTTTGACATATTAAATGACATTTCTTCGTTTTGATGTAGTTACTTTTTAAATGTACTTGTGTAATTTGTATACAATATTTGTGTAACGCTCTCATTTCTTTGTTAAAACGGTATGAATAGTTCCCTAAGGCTAACCATGAGGAGTAAGATCTAAAGTGAAAATACCAACTGATATGGCGAAGACAAACCGACAAAACCATGGAAAATAAACTAACAAAAAACGTCTAGAAGACAAATAACAGTCTACAATACACTCTATGTAAACATTGAGCAACAAAATCATTCGAAACAAGGGAAAATATTACACAACAAACAACCAATTGTAACTAATAAAATAAAGTTGAAGGCCGTACAGTTGCCTATAATTGCTATTAAAATAAGGAGATGTAGTAAGATTGCCAATGAGACAACTATCCACCAATTAAGTGGATGTATGCAACTATATGCAACCTACAACAATGGGAAAACGCATACCGTATAGTCGGCTATAAAAGGCCCCGACATAAGAAATATGAAAAAATTTAAAGAAAAAAAAACTGCCTAATTTAAAACAAAATAATTTACGATAAAAAATTATGACAGATATGAACCAACGACAACCACTGAACAACAGGCTCCTGGCTTGGGACAGACACATAAAGAATGTGGCGGGGCTAAACATGTTTGTGAGCGCTCAACCCCCCACTAACCCGGAACAGTGGTTGTACAGCACAACATGAGTACAAACTATAAAATCAACTGAAAAGGGCTCCACTCATCAGATCGATACAAAGCAGAAAAATATCTAACAAAACCACAGACCAGACGTGGCAGGGTATTTATACATTCCTCACATCAAAAAAGACACAACGTACAGATCTGAAGGTTCTCGCAGTTACTGACATTTAGTTTAAAGCCAATAACAACTAATAAAAAAAAACATGCATGTAAGACTAAAACTACACTTCATTTGAACTTTGGTCGATAGTTGTCTCATTGGCAATCATATCACATCTCCTTAATTTTAAATTGTAATAGTTGACATGTAGGCTTGCGGTAGGGGATAATTTTAAAAAAATTTCAACAAACACCGGCAGAAGACAGACAGCTTAAAGACTAAATATTTAATATATAACAATTAGCAAATACGGAAGTATCGATTACCGGAAGTGCTGCTACTTTTAGCGTTGCATTGTTGAAGTCGATAAATTCATTTCCAAACAATCTACTTGTCATCAGCGAGATTCCATCGTCCTTTGACCAATTGCCCATATACTTCCATGAATCTGTCAAACTGTTTTCAGTACTGCAAATCTGGTATTCAGAATAATTCATTACATTGTTTTGTTGAAATGTCTACAATGAAAAGAAATCCAAGTTAAAAGGGAGGAAGATAATAATAAAGAAAACAACAAAGAAAAACAGCCAACATTGGAGAATGAAAAAGTAAAAACGACACATACAAAACAATAAACAAAAAACACAAACACTTTTAGCAATTTTACAAGCAGAACCAAATACAATGAAAGTCCCAACTATGTATTGGCTTCCGAAGCTACACAAAACACCTTACAAATATAGATTCATTTCGTCTTCAAGCCATTGTTCCATTACTAAATTGTCTATTCTTCTTACCAGTACACTTGGTACAATCAAAAACCTGATAATAAATTGTTCAAATAAGGCCTTCGAAAATAGTGGAATTAATTACTTTTGGAGTGTCAAGAACTCGTTGGAAGTACTTGATAAATTACATGCATATATTGGTGATTTTGAATCTGTTCAAAGTTTTGATTTTTCTACCCTATATACCACATTGCCTCACATTCTCATTAAGAAAAAATTCACACACCTAATTAAATGGGCATTTAAAAAGTCAGAATGTGAATATATATGTTCAAACTCTTTTAGGTCATTTTTTAGTAGCAATAAACAAAAAAACTATGTCAATTGGACATGCTTTGATACTATATATGCCCTTGAATTTTTACTAGATAACATTTTTGTTCGCTTTGGAGATTCCGTATATCGTCAGGTTATCGGAATTCCAATGGGGACTAACTGTGCACCACTTATTGCGGACCTTTTTTTGTATTGCTATGAGTTACAATTTATGACAAAAATCAGCAAAGACCCATCGAAACAACATCTGATACACAAATTTAATAATACTTTTAGATATTTGGATGATATTTTGGCTCTCAATAATGACGACTTCAGTATGTATACTAAAGAAATTTATCCTGTTGAACTTACTTTAAATAAAGCTAATACTAACAATGACCACTGCCCTTTCCTCGATCTTGATATCTATATCATTAATGGAAAGCTTTATACTAAAATATATGATAAAAGAGATGATTTTTCATTTCCTATCGTTAATTATCCATTTTTAGATGGTGACGTTCCCTTGTCACCATCTTACGGTGTTTATATATCTCAACTTGTACGATTCGCTCGTGTATGTAACAATGTTTTAGATTTTAACGAGAGAAATTTATGTATAACTGAAAAATAATTACTCCAGGGTTTTCGATATCACAAACTAGTCAAAACATTTACTAAATTTTATCATCGGTATAAGGACATCATTCGTAAGTATAGCTCAACATGCAGACTTCTTATACGTTCAGGTATTTCACATCCAATTTTTTATGGAAATATTCTTTACAAAGCACAAAAATGTCAGTATTCACCTCTGAAGCTAACAAAACCTTTAAATAGACTTATTAAGAAGGGATATAGTTACGATACTGTTGTCAGGTCATTAAAGATTGCATATTTTGGCGTTAATATTGATTCACTTATAGGGTCTTTGCATCGGCACTAAACACATTTATTTAAAAACCAGTTGTTGGCATGACACGGGTTATGTTCTTCTCATATATGTTATGATGGTATGATACTAAACCCCTAACGGGAAGGATTGTGCCTGATATTCATATGATGAAGACATAATCTTTCAATCAGTTTAATTGAAGTCTGGAGCTGGCATGTCAGTTAACTGCTAGTAGTCTGTTGTTATTTATGTATTATTGTCATTTTGTTTATTTTCTTTGGTTACATCTTCTGACATCAGACTCGGACTTC